AGGTAGCTCACTCGCTGTGGCAGGGACTCCCACCAGGCCCCTTTCAGGCTTCTCATTGTCCCACTGATATCTGTTCTCTTGTAGCCTTCATAGGAAACTAGAATCCCAGAACATAGCCTGAGTTCGGAGTCATTGTAGCAATTGTCACACATGGGAACCCTGTACTTTGTAGCCAGTCAGTGATCATAACCTGGAGACTGCATACTTGGCACCTGGTACTAGACATGAGGTTGCATCCTGAGACCTGTGAAGTCAAAGCCTGGGTAGTGAGTATCAAGGGCAAGTTGAACTATTGGCTGAGTCAATGTCAGAATTACCAGCTATAGTAGCTGAAATGTAATTGGCCCTCATGAGCTCATAGGGAGTGACACTATTGGGAGGTATGGCCTCATTGAAGGAAGTGTGGCCTTGTTGAAGGAAGTGCTTCACTGCAGAGGTAGTCTTTGAGGTCTTTTTTTTGCTTAAGCTTCAATGTCACAGTCCATTTCCTGTTGCCTTCTGATCAAGATGTAGCCAGCATCAGGTGTGTGCCTGCACGCCACCATGCTCCCTGCCTTGATAACAATAGATTGAACCTCTGAACTGTAAGCTGCCACCCTTATTAAATGTTTTCCTTTATAAGAGTTGTCACGGTCATTTTGTCTCTTCACAACAGAAATTCTAATTGAGAGACCTGCTATTAGGAGAGAAAAATACCCTTCCTAGGTATTAGGGTTTTGGTTGGTTGGTAGGTTGGTTTGGTGTTCTGTTTTGGCTATTTGAAACAGCTTTCATGTAGTCTAGACTGGCCTCAAACTCCTTAGGACTTGGACTCCTGATCTCCCTTCTCTGCCTTCTGAGTGCTGAGATTTCAGGGTTGCTCCACCATGCTCAGGGGGGCATTAAAATTTTCTGAGAGTGATTTTTTTTCTACATTTATTTTTGTGTGGGTGGTGCACATAGGAAACTGGAAGACAACTTGCAGGAGTCAGTTCTTTCCTTCCACCGGGCAGACTCTGGAGAGCAAACGTCCTCAGCCTTGGTGGCAGGGACCTTATCTGTTCAGCCATCCTACTGGCTCTGAAATTGATTTTTAAAGTATTTTATTTTTAAAATTTCCCATGTTTTACAGTGATAAAATGTTATGTATTCTGGGTTAAAAATAAATAGAGCTGAGCCTACTGGTATACACCAGAAATCCCAGCACTCTGGTGGCTGAAGCAGGAGGACTATCAGTTCAAGGACAGTCAACCTGTATGCACAGTCATGCCTGCATTACTGGGGATGCTCTGAGATGTGTGGCTCGGTGATATGCTGAGATGTGATTTGACTCACACCTGGTTAGTGACTTGCAGGAGCCTGTGGTTGCTGCTGGCTTCCACACTACTTCACAATAAGCTATTTTAGACAAGCTGAAGCACGCGAACCTAACCAGGACCAGTATGCAGTCATTTGCTCTCATCAGAAACAGTACATGCTGTGCATGGGATGGGTGCTGTGCTTGATAAGACTGGCAGCACAGTCCTCTCTGCCCTGAGGCGTGTCACAGTGTGCTACTCCTGACAAAGTTCCAAGGCTTCAGAGCTATTCAAGCTTGAGGAACTTCCAGAACCATGAACCAAAATAGCCTTTTTCTCTTTATAATTTAATATGCCTCAGTTAACACAATACCTGGAGAATCAGGTAACACTGCCATAAGAATGAAATGCCAGTAACTAGGACTGGAGTTATGGCTTGGTGGTAAAGAGCTTGCCTAGCATGGGTGAAGCCCTGGGTTCTACATTTAGTGCTGAAAAAAATAAATTTTTAAAAAACTAAAAATTAAATTTAAATTACATTTGTTCATTACTAAAGGCTTTGGTATTTCTCAAAATTTTCACAGCTGTGCCTGGTAGTTTCTGGTGACCTCAGAACAGTATTCACTAGGAAAGTTGTAACACTGCAAAGATTTACATAGTAAAAGGAAAATACCTTCAAAGCCAAACCAACTTCTTTATTTTCATTAGTATATGGTGGTTTCCAAAGTTGAATTCTGTCTTCCCTTAGAAACTGGGTCAATTTTGCTTGAAGATATTTCTTTTGCGCCATCCTTGAAAGCAAAACTGTAAATCAATAAAACCCATATCACATTTTAAAATGCTTTATTTATACATTATCTCATCCACTGAGGAGTTCTGCAAAGTAGAGTTCCCTCTGAGCCTCTATGAGCTTAATCTAAGCTACTGTATCCAATTATATGTAAGCCAATATAAAATGTTGCTTTTGTTGTTATTTTGTTTTTGTTTTTGTTTTTCCTGAGCCAGAGTTTTTCTGTGTAGCCCTGTCTGTCCTGGAACTTATTCTGTAGACCACCAGCCAATAACTCCCTAGTGCTGTGACTAAGGGCATAATGTCACCACATTCAGCTTAAAAATATCTATTTCAAACTTGCTAATATGTAGCAAGGAGTAGTATATATCCCTGTTTCTTGTGGAAGAAAGTAATAAACCAAGATGTTACACATGCTAGGTCTGTGTTCTACTCTCCATTTCTAACCCTGTTATTATTTTCAGAAAGGTAAGGAAAGGGGCTAGCCAGACAGCTCAGGGGTTTCTGGCTGCTCTCTTCCAGAGACCTGGGTTTGGTTCCCAGCACCCACAAGGCAGCTCACAACCATCTTTACCTTTAGTTCCAGAGGATCCAAGGACTCTTTCTGATATACAGAGATACATACAGGCAAAACACCCATACACATAAAAGATGTTTTTTTAAAAAAAGACAAACCCTTTAAGCAACCCTATATATATATAGCTTGTAAATTCTCACACCTGGGCTACTTTAACTCAAAACCCAAGACTAAGCTAAACACTCTGGTAATTAAGCACAAAGATAGTTTGAACTATGAACTACAGTGATAAATGTTTATACAGTTGAATTTTGAAAACAAAAGATGGTGATGCACACCTTTAAGCTCTTGGGAGTTCCAGGTCAGCCTCTCAAAAAATAAATAAAATTTTAAAAATTACAGCACTACACTATTTTATTTTTGTTGTCTTAACTTTGTGTTGAGACAAGGTCTTACTCTGTAGCCCAGGCTGCCCCAAAGTTCAAAGCCGCAGCATCCACAGTGCCTGGATGACAAGCATGAACCACCACACCGGCTCGTGCTGTTTTCACTGGTACTTCTGAGAGTGCAACAGCACAGCTACATCTATTGTTCAGTGCAACAGTGGCCAGATCATTTTACAGCTGGAAAACCCCAGGCCCTGGGTTTATAAAACCACAACACCAGCCAGTGCCAGAACTGGCATGAGTCATCTGCCTATAAAAATGGACTCTGTACTTTGTCTCACAACCCCTTTGCTGCACGTCCTCAGCATATAACTTCTTTTCTCCATAGGAGCTATGGCAGCATCCCACACCAGTACAACTCTTCCCAGGGGTCGGGGAGGCTGCTGAGTGCTGGCGGCAGGTGGGCAGTGTAGTGAAGTGTTTTAAGGTTTGCCAAATCAAACCAAGGAGGAAGCTACTCACTCCTTATTAATGGACATGAATTTCAGAGTGGAAAAAAATGTATGGGTTATTAGAAATTAAATGTTTCTCTTTTTTCATATGGAGGGCTAATACTCCATAGTCTTCTGAACATAATCCACCTGATTTGAAGCAAGTGTGGTGATAATTATTCCATAACCATGCTTTTAAAATAATGATCAAATCCGTCTGAGAGTGAGAAACAGGTCCAGGATGAAGAATGGAATAAACAGTGAGTGTGTGTGTGGTCACTCACAAACTGATCCTTACAGAAGGCACAACAGCACTTAGGAGCACTTGCTTTGCAAACACAAGTCACTGAACCTACCAGACACAGGACTGAAATCTACAAAAATTCTGAGAAAAAGACCACTGCCACGTCATAAGAATGGCAAGGGTAATTTACAGGCAACCAGCTATTTAGAAGGTTGAAAAGTCTCCCTGACTGTAACCAGTCCACTGTCTAACAAAAGGAGATAAGGTTATCACAACCCTAATCTATGTTCTAACACTGTCAGGTCTGCATCACACAAAATTTCTTTTTTCTGAGTCAGGGGGTCTTAGTAGTTACGGTTTCTATTGTTGCAATGAAATGCCATGACCATAAAGCAAGTTGGGAAGCTTATACTTCCATGTTGCTATTCATTATTGAAGGAAGTCAGGACAGGAACTCAAACAGGGCAGGATCCTGGAGGCAAACAGAAGCCGTGGAAGAGCTGCTTACTGGTTTGCTCAGTTTGCTTTCATATAGAACCCAAGACTACCAGCCCAGGGGTGGCACCATCCACAATGGGCTGGACCCTTCCCCATTTATCACTAACAGAATAAATGCCTTACTGCTGGATCTCATGGAGGCATTTCTTCAATTCAAGCTCCTTCTTCTCTATTTTCCGTCAAGTTGACACAAAACCAGCCAATACTCATTTCTTAGCTCTGGCTGCCCTGGAACTCACACTGTAGACCAGGCTGGCCTTGAACGCAGAGACCCACACGCCTCTGCCCTCCAAGTGCTGGGATTAAAGGTGTGAGCAACCACGCCCGGTATTAAATAAGATTTAATGTTAAAAAAAAAAAAAAAAACATCGTCGCTGGCCATACTGTTGCATGCCTTTAATCCCACAACTAGGGTGCAAAAGCAAGATCTCCAGTGAGGTCAAAGGCAGCATATTCTACACAGAGAATTCCAGGACAACCAGAGCTACATAGTGAGACATTGTTTACTAAAAAAAATTCCAAAGTTTGAGACTCTGGTTATATGAGTGACAGGTGTTAGGTCAAAAGGAAGATAATCTAATAGCTCAGTTTTACGTTTTAACTGGAGAACTGCAAGTTTGGGGCCTGTCGCTGGGTGTTCCATATCATAACGTGGAAACCATTTACGTCCCGAAAAACAGCGCTCAGAACCGAAAGTGAAACGTTGGGAATTAACGTTGAAATTTTCACTTTCATTTCTGTAAAATCCAGACCGCCTAGATTCACGCACATTCAATACATGTTCCCTCTCAGGGAAATAACACGCAATTGGGGTCTCGTACTTCAAAGTAAGAGCAAGTGAAGGAGGCAGGAACAGCGTGGGGCCAGAAAGCTCGTGTCCTCACCCACAAAGATCCGCAGTTCGCGCACGTCAGCCCCGGGCAGCCCGCTCAGCTCAGCTCAGGCTGACGGCAGGTGTCCCTCTCCCTCAGGCTCGCAGCGACCTCCTCCCTCTCCCTCCCGAGCCTGCAC